TAGTCACGGACAGTCTTTGTAGTTTCTAAACCTATGCTCTGTATCTTTAGATTTGTTATTGTGGGGTGATCTGCCAAAGTTTCCAAAAAAGGTTAAAAACACCGGAATAAAAACAAGCCCGTGAAGAGCCCCAAACAAAATAACAAGGAACATGATCTTGAAAAATGTCCTATAGATGTAGGCTTTTGCTGCAGCCAGGATGACAACTCCTAATATAGTAGAAACTGCACCTTGTAGTACTGGGTAACCGAGAAGGGACAGGGCGTCGATTGCCCTTTCGTTGGCTGATGCCTTTCCACTCGCAACAAAGGCATAGGAAATATGAGCAGAAAAATCTACTGAAAACCCTATACAAATGACCAGGTTGATCATGGATATGGAATCTAGATTGACGTTCCAAAATGTCATGAAAGCAGCAACACCTGCTATCACAGAAGCTATTGCAAAAGTCACCCACAAGCAACACAACGGGTTGGGAATAAGCAAAAGGGAGACAAGGAGCATCGCCCCGGCAGCAACGAGAACGTTCTGAAGGGTGTTCTGCACTATGACCAGGTACTGGTCGTAGTAGATGAACGCTGGATGGTACACCATTAATGGAACGCTGCACTGCTTGGCTGTCTCTCTTAACTGATTAAGAAGATTCTTCTCATCAACAGCTGAGGTCACATTGACCGTCTGGATGAAGAAACGTGAAGCTTGTATTTCATCCTGAGTCTTGTTAATGTCCCACTCAAAACTGGGAACATACTGGAACAGTGTAGCTAAGTTATTCATGAAAAGAGTCTTATTGCTTATATTTATCAAACCATTTCTGGCAAGTTCTGTGTATACTCTCAGCCATGACTCCGAGAAGTTCTTATCTACATAGGAATTGTCCTCTAAATTCAGTGTGCAGTTCTCAATGCCAAGACGAACAGTCGCATTCCAGTAGTCCACACTTTCAGTAATGACAACCATAACCCTGGGTCCATATGCTGAGAAGTATTTGTCGTTGTCATCATAGTACAGAATAATGTAAGAGTCATCGCTTGCCAGATTTCGAAGATCGATGCCTTCCCTGATCTGGGTACATCCATAAATACTAACACCCAAATATGCTCCGTACAGCAACACCACAAGTAGCTTGGTCCATGTATTTGTCAAAAAAGGACCATAGTACTTCTTAAAGAACACGCTCGTTGGATGCTCACTTTCTGGCTCTTTGGTTTCTGGCTGAGATGACTTCCTACAAGTTAGCCAGTGTCGGTTTGCCTGCTCCCTTTTATGATTTAATACAATAATTGCCCCAAAGAAGGTCATGGTATATATATAGCAGAAGACAAAAGCAGTGCCTGTATAGAGGCAAAATGATCTCACGGAGGGAAAAACAGTCCAGGTGCCGATGAAGAAGGCCAAAACATCCGTGAGAGTGGTGATGGTCACAGACAGGGCTGCTTCTGTGTAAGTTTCAGACAGCAGAAGTTTAACATCAGATTTTGCTTTTCTTCTTAAACTTTGTTCCCAGGAAGCAATCATGATGAACATGTCATCAACGCCGACTCCTGCAGGAGGAGAAAA